CGCTCCGCTCCGCTCCGCTCCTGGCCGGACGCGCGCGGCGCCATGGCCCCCGCGCGCCTCGCCGCCGCCGCCGCCGCGCTCGCCCTGCTCTGCGCCCAGCTGGTGAGTGCGCGGCGGACGCGCGGCCGGCGCTGCCCCCGCTCTGCGCCGCTGCTTGGCCGGTCGGAACGCGTGCGGGGGTTTCGCGGCGCGGCCGGGGCGGGACTCTCGGACCGGGTCGCCGTGGGGGACCAGCGCGCCTCGCTGACACGTTGGTCGGGTGTAGCGTCAGCTTGGGGATAGTTTGGTTCGCCGCCGGGGCTCCGCGAATGTGGGGAAGGGCGAGGAAGCGCGCCGAGGCTCACTCGACTGGCCAGCCTGGCAGGACGCAGCCCTCCTGCGAAGCAGTCGTAATAAAGTAGCGGGGACTTAAGGTTGTAAGCTTCTAGTCCGCATTGCTCAGTGCGTGGGAAGCGAGTGCAGCCGTTTGGATGGCCGCGCGTCCGCAGCTGGGTTCCCTGCATGTGGATACTTCCCGTCCCTGAATTAGTGCCAGAAGGAAACTCGGTTCTGCACCTTACGGCTTGCGTCGTGTAGGTCGTGGGAACACGGTATGCTTTCAGAGCGTCGTTTCAGATCGCCCGGCTCTCGAGACGCGCACAGCGGCGTGCGAATTGCCTTCAGTTGTTTTGCGCCGCGCTTAAAGCAAAGAGGGCTTTGCGCACCAAGTCGAAAGGAAACCCCGACTAAGTGGCCACCCCGATAGGAGCGAACGGGCTTAGACGGAAGAAACGCCTTTTACGTCCCGGACTCGCAAAGGGCTGAAAGGGCAGCCCCTGGGAGCCGGTCTGCTCGAGCCGGTTAAAGCAGGCGCTGGCCGGCGCGTGCACCAAGCAGCTCCCCAAATAAAAGTTGGGGGATTGTCCTGGGGAGGGTGCAGTTCCCAGCTGTTGGGGGTCAGCCCCCTCTGCGAAGGAGGGCCCTCTGCCTATGCTCAGGATTCCTCTTGGCTCTGGCAGGTGCCTCTTGCCACGCACAGCACAGCGTTGTGTCGCCTCCTACGGGATGCGCACACGCCTCTGGGCCCCGAAGCTCGTGTCCTGCGCTTGCTGCTCAGGTGTACGAGAGCTTGTGGGCGTTTGCCGGGGGGGGGGGGCTCTCCCGGGCTCGGTGCCAGCTCTCTGTGGGTCAGGTGAGTGTGCAGACGCTCTCGTGTGCAGCGCTGCGCATCGGGCTGCCAAGCGTAAGAGGCCGGAGCCTGGTGATCAGGCGGGATAATCCCCTCAAGCCCCGGCCGGCAGTTCCCCCGGCAGGGAGTCAAAGAGAGCAAGGGCAGCGCCTGCCTCTAGAGGGCCCGCCGTGGGCAGTAAGAGAGCGCCGCCCGCCCGCCCGCCCACGGGCCCCGTGGCCACCCCGCGGCGCTGCTGAGCCCTTCAGGGTCCTCATCTGTTCGGCGCGTAATCTCTGCACGTGTGGATTCCTGGCGTGCGCGTTCCTTCCCTCTCTGGCTTCTGCTTCCAGGAACGTCTCTCTTGCCCTCACCGTGTAGCACATTTTCCTTTCCTGGGTGCACGTGTGGGGCCGGGGGTCGCTCTTGCCCCGTCCTGCCGAGCCCTCGGTGCCGTGGGCATCTCTGCAGCACAGCGGCCTCCAAGGTTCTCCTCCCTGGCCTGCCGGTGGCCAAGCTGAGCTTTGCTGGAAAGCGGGCCCTGCAGCCCACTTCGGCTGCGCCTGTGGCAGCCCCGCGTCCAGCGCGCCCTCCGGGAAACAGTTCTGTGGCGCTTTGGGGGATGTGTCCGAGTGCGGGCTGTTCGGCAGGGTGCTTGTTCTCCCAACCCTCTGCTCCCCTGGGGGGTGGGAGGCCCTTCATGGGATACGGGGAGGCTCAGTTAGGGAATTAACTGAGGATGCACCTACTGGGGAGCCGCTTGCAAGTGGCGTGCCGGATGGGACCGGAGCGAACCTGATGGCTTGCTCTTAGCGCAAGGGGTGAAGGTTTTGCCTTTGCAGTGTCCATCAAAGCCGTCTTTACCGTTCCTCCTGGAAGTCCGTGCTTCCCACCATCCTGCCAAATCGGCTCACACATCCCCCAAACAGGGCGAGATCTCTGGATCGTGCTGGGACAGAGGGACGGGTGGATCACGAGGGACGGGGGTGGCTTTCAGGCGAGTGGAAATGCTGGCTGCAGGTGTCGAGGTCGGGGCATCTGTCGCAGACGGTGGGAAGGATGCTTGGGCTTGTTCCTGTGCAGGCCCCAGCGCACAGTTTCGCAGTGTGCGTTAGCGGGTCTTATCACTTCAAAGGGACCTCCCCCGACGGGGAGACTGGGCATCGGAATGGCGCGGGCAGCTCCGTGCGAGCCAGCGCAAATGGATGCCTGCTGGGGCGGAAGGGCCCACATTCGACTGCAGCAGATGGGAAGGATCCAGGCGGGGTCTTGGGGGATGGGGTGGAAATGTTGGGGCAGATCCAGGCTCGGTGTGAGGAGGAAAGCAGGCACCAGGCGGCTCTTTTGCGCAATCCGGTGCTGCTGCGCTCGGAATATTGTGCAAGGTGCCGGTCGCCGCATCTGGGAAGGGGCAGAAAGGGGCACCTGGGGGGATCCCGGGAGCTGTTCCCAGACGAGGATCAGGCGAGGACAGCTGGGTTAGTTTAGCTTAGCAAAAGGATGAATGGGGGGGGGGGGGGGGGGATGATAGAGGCTCAAAGTGATGGATGGCATGGGGAAAACCGGGAAGTATTTCCCTCGCTCCTGTTGTGCAGAAACCGGGCTCATCCCATGAAGTCGGTCGGTGGACGATTCTGGGCAGATGAAAGGAAATCTCCTTCATGGGGCACCTAATTAAATGACGGGATTCACTGGTGAAGGAAGGGCGCCGATCTGGACAGCTTTAAAGGGCACTGGACGAGGAGGAGGCGATCAGCAGGCACTGCCGGCTGGGGGGCTTGGGCAGGGGGGGGTCTCGCGCCCGTCCTGCTGGAGGGGTCCTGGGGGCAGCTGGCTTGCCACCGTGTGGATGGAGTGCCGGGCTGGGCGGGCCCTTGGCCCGATGCAGCAGGGCTGTTCTGATGCTCTCGGAAGGTGTGGGGCAGCGAGGAAAGCTAGGAGGGAGGTGAGGCAGGACCAGGTTGTCTGGGGGAGAGACGTTGCTTCCACACAGCGGAGTCTGGCAGAGCGATGGGACTTGGTGTGGCCAGACTGGGGAATGTGATGCAGGATAAGAGTGCTGGTCTTACCTGGCGGGTCAGCCACATCGGGCCGCCACCGCCCCGGCCTGGCCTGCAGGAGTCAGCAGGTCATGCTTCCTGACAACACGGGAACGGACGTTCTCACGGGCTTGTGCCGTGGCAGCAAGTTGCTGCTGACAGCCCAAGGGCTCTTGGAAATGTCGGCACGTGTCGATATGCCGGAAGCCAGCGGTGGCTCTGAAGCGCCCCTGGTGATCAGGTCTGGGTTTTGGGAGCAGGCCCAGCAGGGCAAGGTGGTTTCGAGAGCCCAAGCAGCGGAGTGGTCCGAAGGGGCCTTCGGGGCAGCCCTCCTGGCTCCCAGCCACGGGGCTGCGATCGCTGAGCTCGCACCGGCGGTGGCAGCTTCCTTTGCACCTGCCGACCGGACACAAGCCTCCCGCAATGCTCAGGACGAGCGTGGCAGGACCACTTTCTGTCTGCATGTGCACCGGCGGGCTCCCTTGGCGGAAGGGCCTGCAGAGGGGAATCAAGGTGGGGGGCTCCGTCGCCCGGCCCCCGGCCCCTGCTAACTTCTTTGCTTCTCCTCCCCTGCAGGCTGAGCCGGCGGGCGTGTTCGAGCTTCAGGTGCACTCCTTCACCTCAAGCAGTCCCCAGGGCCTGTGCCGGGACGCTCCCCCCTGCCGCCTCTTCTTCCGCGTCTGCCTCAAGCATGCCCAGGCCGTGGTGTCGCCAGAGCCCCCCTGCACCTTCGGGGCAGCCCTGAGCGACGTCATCCCTGCCGGCCGGAGCGCCGTGGCCACCAGCCGGCCCATCCGCGTCCCTTTCCACTTCAAGTGGCCGGTGAGATCCTTCCCCAGCCCACACACCCCGGACATGGCACTTTAGACCTGGGAGCGGCTCTGGCCTCCAGAGTCCCTTTCGCCCCCTCGGGACCTCCTGGACCCCTTTCCTCCCTCTAGGGGTCAGGGGCTCCCCCCCCATTGGCTTCTCTCTGAGTTCTGTACCATGCATGTTTCAATTGTGCCACTCTGGGATATGCTGGCCTGGTTCGTGTGTAGTGCTAAACCATGGTTTATTTAAACTGCGGTTTGTTGCCTTCTCTGGGGAGGTGGCTGAACTCATGATAATTTCAGTGCTCAGCACCTGAGCATTATTTCTCCCTCCTTCAGCCACTCTCCCTGCACTCCGTGTGCCATGGCAACGCCACAGTTTTGGCACGTAAATCAGCCGGTGTTCTGCACTTGTCTGGCTCTTTTGCCTGGAGGAGCAGCCCAGAAGCAGGGTGTGATTCGGGGTGAGCGTTTATCAGCAGTATCATTTGGGGTTGGTCGCAAAGTGGAGGAAGGCTGCACGATGCCGAGGGTGCCTCGCTGGCGGGGAAGAGTGTCGTGATGCCAGAAGTATTGGGTGGGAAGGCACGGCCCAGCACAGGGCTGGCGGACCTTTGAGAGACCAAGTGCCCAAACAGCAGCCCAAAGCCCACTTATTTATCACAAAGTGTCAACATGACAATAAAACCTGAAACCGGAGGCTTTCGTTTAGAAAAAACAACTCACAGCCAGTCCTTGGCAGTGCGCTGACCAGCCATGCGGAAGCTTGGACAAGTCGTGGCTAATGAGTCGCGGCACGTGACGCCTCCACCTGGCGCCGCTGCTCCTTTCTGAGCATGCGCACGGCCCCATGGGCGCTGTCACCCGATGCTGGGGTGTTGCTGGGGCAACTTGGCTCGCGGGCCGGCAGAGAGGGCTCTGGGTGCCCGCTGTGGCCCGTGTGCCGTAGGTTCGCCACCACTGGCTTAGGAAATTCGGAGTCCTGCAACGGTTGTCTGACTGCGCCAAGAGGCGTGTGGAGGCCTGCTGCTGGGATTTGGTGCCGACAGCCTCATGAGCCTCGATCTTCTCCCTCATTCGCTAGAAGCCATGTAAACATTCATTGATTGTTAAACTGCTAGTAGGCGAGGCTGTCTGGGCCGTTAACCGTTTGCAAACATGAGTTAAAGCTCAGGAAGAGACCCGTGGCTTTTGCAGCAATCCATTTCCTTGCTCTTCAAGGAGCAGTTTGGGAAGGATGTGCCTGTTTTCCAAAGAGGAGAGGTAAATAAAAAGCAAAGTCGCTCAGATGTTTATTGATTGTAAAATATTTCATTTGTTAAATTTAAAACACTTTTAGACGTTCCCTTACTGAAGTCTCAGGAAGGTTTAACAGTAACGCAGTTTGGATCCTGGTTGTGAGGTGGTCTGCAAGTGTTGATCTTTAGATGGCTACTTAGTTGTTGGTTTCGTTGTGTATTTAGTTGCATCTGTTACTGGTTTGTAACAAGAACTGTTAAGTTTCCCTAAGAAATCTGTGGTTAGGGTAAACACTGGGGTATAAATGCTGAAAAGGGTGGAATGATTTATTTTTCAGCCTCAGGCCCGCTCTGTGATGATGAACAGCCCTGATGTCAAAAGTTTTGTGCAGAAACCGATTCCCTCGAAGGTGGGGGGGTATTTCTTTAGGATATGTCTAAGCTGTCCATCACTTTCGTCTCTGGATGGCTTAGTGATGCCACGGCACCATTCGGGAGCAGACGTGCACGAAAAGGGCAAAGCTGATCGGGCAAAGCACCTTTCAGAAATAAAGACGGGTTCCAAAATGTCCCAGAGTGGCCTGCACTCAGAGCGGAGCAGCAGGAATTCTGCATGGGTTGAGAAGCTGGGATTTTGGAGCAGGAATTCTGGGCCGCTTGGTTGAAAAGCTGCTAGTTCACTGGAAACGCTGTTTTTTCAGATGTACTCCCCTCTGCTCCGTGGTACGGTACTATGGTCGTGGAACTCATCTGGGAGAGATTGCCCACCCCAAATACTAACGCCCCGTAGTGGAAGGCCAGGGAGGCCCTTTCCGGGCCCCCGGCTGCTCGGTTGCTCCTCCCTTGGCTCACTGCTCTCCTTTGTGTTTGCCTTTGCTTCCAGGGCACCTTCTCCCTCATTATCGAGTCTTGGCGGGCCGAGTCGGGAGAGCCGTCCACCGGTAATGCGTCTTTCTGTGTCTGGCTGGACGTGTCTTGGGTGCGCTGCTCGTCCTCCTCACTCCATGCAGCAGTTCCGGAACGTGGGCCAGCGTGACTCACGATCGCACAGGAGTTGCGCTTTGCACATGCTCTGAGAAACCTTGAGAGAAGTGCTTAAGAAGAGAAAAGGCCCTTAGGGTGCAATCCTGCACCTGTTTGGACAGAAAAGGCCTAGAACTCCCAGGATTTCCTTGGCTGGATCCAGGAAAAGCACAATCTGCAATCCAGATCTTTTTATCTTGGGAAAGGAATTCGGTTCCACATGTAGGGCTTTCCTTAAGCAGCATGTTAAAAGCTAAATTTGGAAGCCAAGCAGGGACAGGCCTGGTCAGAATTGGGATGGGTGACTTGAGTGTATGATTCAATGGTTATTGCTGTCAACTGCCTAGAGAGCTTTGGCTATGGGCAGTATAAAAATGTAATAATAATAATAATAATAATAATAATAATAATAATAATAATAATACACCTGGGATGGGGGGAGCAAGCCCTGTTTCCAGGGTCCGACTGAAGCGTCCTTTAGTAGCATCTGAAGGGATTGGTCATGGGCTGTAAGGCAGAGTAGATCTTTTTGCATGGGAGTAAGGCAGAGGCAAAGTAGAGTTGGGATCTCGCGAGCGACCCTGCAGGCGAGAGTGCTCCCCTCGCCTCCTCTCTGCTCACCTCCCTCGGAGATCAGGTCACGTGCTTGAGCCTCTTTAAGCAACGCCTGACCGCTGGCCGCCAGCCTTGGCCGTCCTCCCGGTGCCTGTGGAGCAACGGTCCAGCAGCGGCTCCCAGCGGTGGTCGCACGAACGCTCTCTGAGCTGGCTCCTCCGAGCTGCCAGGGCACGACGTGGGCTTCCCCATTCTCCGGGTTCCCTCGCCTTTGATCAGATGAGGGCATTTGGCAGAATATCTGCTGGCCGCTTAGCAAGAGAACGAAATCCAGGCCTGCCCAAGAGATGGTGGCTTGCACTGGAAAGCTGCCACCTGAGGAACGTTCCTCTCGCCAAGCTAAGACAGGAAGGAAATTGCATGCAGAACCCCCTGGAAAGGGGGGTTTGCACAGAGGAATGTTCCCGAACCCCTACGCTCTACTTTTTTCCATTTCCAGAAGATTCTCTGTGGATGCCAGAGATGTGGCCAGCATTAAGCGCTCCCCAAAACCATGCGACATGGGCAAAGCGATGCAAGGCGACCCGGCGCCGTGGCTTGTTAATCTTTCTTTTTGCCATTTACAGGGTTCTGGATTTGCTAGTCCCAGAAGAAGCAGTGGCGGGGGCCTTAAGGCTTGGCCTGCGTGGGCCCAGCACTTATATAGCCCATTCTGCTGTGGTCCTGGCCCCCGAGAATGCCCTGGGCATCGCTCGCTGCTCGAGCACGTTCCTTGCAAGCCCCTGTTCACCTCTCCAGCAGGTGTTGCGCAAGGTTGCTGAGGACCTGCTGCCTATAAGACGCAGGGCCAGAAAGGCCAACCGCCTTCCTGCGAGGCTCAGCTAGGCCCCTGCTTGAAGTAAAAATGCCCCAAGGGGTGGGTTGGCTGCGGGGCTGTGCTTGGGCGAACGGGAGCGGAAACTTTCCGGGAGCAGAACTTGCGGCAACGAGTCCTAGAGTGACCTGTAAGGACTCTGGAACGTAATTTGCACCGCCTGCTGTTTGCGCAGTCTTTCTGCGTAGCTTACCTTTGCAGAGTGACCTTCCTGACTGCAGTGGGCTGAAGGCCTGGGCCCCCACAGCCTCGGAGGGCCACCCAGAGGTGCCGGGAACGTGCCGGTGAGGCTTTGCCAAGGGCCAGGCCGGGGCTGCCGGCAGGTGCTGCCTGACCCCGCAGCACGCGCTCCTCTCGCACCTGAACACCTTCGTGTTGGGGAGCACCTGGTGAGGCCTGCACTGGTTGCAGGTGCTCACTTTAGTTTACATTAATGGAAATAATATGGCACCACAGAGGTCACTGCCACATAAACGCATTTAGAGGCAGCACGGCTGAAACGCCATCCCATGGTGTTCCGGGAGTCACAACTGGTGACAGTTTAAAATGCAGAAGTGCCGAATGCTCGGAATATTTATTCGTTTTAGCAAATCAGGGGCTGTCGAGCAGGTTTTTGCTTTGTTCTTTTGCTCCCTCATATGGTGAATGCAGAACCTGGGAAGCGCAAACGGGCACCAGGCTCGTGACTGAAGCCATACACGGGCACGAAGCCCCTTCGTCACACGAAATCATTAAGTCCAGAGTCCGACATGACTTGGTCTCTTGAACGAACCTGGAGAATTACTTAGTCTGGCTGTGCTGTTGCTGCCACTTATTTCTGTACAGCCCAGCGCGGCCTCCCCAGTGCTCTCGCTGCTGAGTGCCAGAGACCGAGCCCCCGTAGCGGGTGACATGTCCCGTCGGCCTCCCCACGCCCCTCGCTGCTCAGGGACCGACCCGGCCGCCTGCGGCCTCTCTCCCCGTCTTCCCTCCTGCAGAGGACGCCCAGAAGCTGATCAGCCGCCTGGCCACCCGCCGCCGCCTGGCCGTGGGCGAGGACTGGTCCCAGGACGTGCAGCTGGGGGACCAGAGCGAGCTGCGGTACTCCTACCACGTCACCTGTGACGAGCACTACTACGGGGAGAGCTGCTCCGACTACTGCCGCCCGCGGGACGACACCTTTGGCCACTATGCCTGCGACGAGCTGGGCAGCCGGATCTGCCTGGCCGGGTGGCAGGGCGAGTACTGCTCCGAGCGTAAGTAGCCCCGGAGCCGGGGGTGGGGGGGCGCGGTCCCAGCAAGCGCGGTCCCAAGTGGCTAAACGCAGCTTGGGAGGGCAATGGGCCGGCTGCTGAGTGCCGGGCTGATGAAGTCGGAGGGGGGCGAGGGTGTGGGTGCTTCTCCCACCCTTGGGGGGCCGCCAGGGCGAGGGAGGGGGGTGGAAAGGCACAGTCTGCCTGGATTTCCAGCCCTCGGGGCCCTGCCGTCTCCATGGAAATGACTTTCGGCCTCGGGAATCCCTCCTTTCACAGACCCCTGAAATTGCGATGCTTTAATTGCTCCACAAAGCTTCCCCTCGGAGCCTTGGCATATGGAGGGGCTGGTTAACTTCCAGCGGGGAAGGCCGGGCCGGGCCGGGCCGGGCCGGGATCGTCAACCGGGCTCATGCGGGCCGTGTGCTCCCGGTGCCTTTGTTCCAGGGCTGTGTGAGGGAGGCCCCCTCTTGAAAGTGGGTCAGGCTCTCTCCCCTCTCCCCTCTTGTTGGCGGGGAACAAAGGCGAGGAAAGGGGACTCGTGCGGCGGCCCGGCCGGGCCCTCGTCGCCGGCCTGGGTGGCATGTGGGCCCTCCGTCCGGCGCGGTGCCAGCGCCAGGCGCTGGCGCGACGCAGGGAGCCCTCCAGCAACGGCCCGGCTCTGTCCCCCCCCCGCTTGCCTTTTGCAGCGATCTGCCTGCCCGGCTGCAGCCCCCGGCACGGCCACTGCGAGAAGCCCGGCGAGTGCCAGTGCCGCCTCGGCTGGCAGGGCCGCCTGTGCGACGAGTGCGTGCGCTACCCCGGCTGCTTGCACGGCGCCTGCGCGCAGCCCTGGCAGTGCCACTGCCGCGAGGGCTGGGGGGGGCTCTTCTGCAGCCAGGACCTGAACTACTGCACCCACCACCGGCCCTGCAAGAACGGCGCCACCTGCACCAACACCGGCCAGGGCAGCTTCACCTGCAGCTGCCGGGCCGGCTTCACGGGCACCAGCTGCGAGGTCGAGGCCAACGAGTGCGACAGCCACCCCTGCAAGAACGGCGGCAGCTGCAGCGTCAGTATTGCCCCCCCCACGGGCGCCCCCCACCCCTGCCCCCCACCCCGTCTGTCCATCCATCCCCAGCCCCGCAGCACGGCTGACGCTGGGCTGCCTGTCCGGGACAGCGGGGGCCCTTCCCCTAAATGGCCCTGCAGCCTGGCTCCACGGCACCCCGGGCTGCGTGTCCGCCCCCTGCGCCTTCCTCCCCGCAGCAGCCGGGGCACGTGGGGCGGGCCAGCTCCTGAGTGTCCAAGCCCCCCGGGCTGCACGATGCCGTTGCGATGCCTCTCACGCAACCGGATCGCTGAAAAGCGGGCAGGGAAGGGGCCTTGCCGCGAGGCCTCCCTCTCCTCGTGGCAGCGGCCGTGGGCGCACCCACGCTCTCCTCTGCTGGAACAGGCGTGAGGAACCCGTAGCCCTCCTGATGTTGCTGGCCTGCAACTCCCAGACTCCCTGTGGTTATCCTGGCAGGGGCTGATGGGGGATGGAGTCCAAAATCATCTGGGATGTGCCAGTTTCTTATCCCCGTTCTATAAAATGATCTATCCCCTGCAAGGCTGGTTTTCCCCTTTAGAAGGTGGAGGCGAATTCTCAGGTCCACCTCTTGTAACATCTCTAGCTTTGGATTTCTCTGCGGGGTTGGGAAAATCACGCTTGTTCTTCACGGGGAGTCTGAGGAAATGCTCCATGGGAAAGATGCCGTCACCGTTGCGGAAGACCTGCTCTTTGCCTTTGGGTGGGTGCGTCATTCCCCAGGCTCACTGAGGCTCACAAAAGCTGGCTCGCCTGGAGGGGGCTCCCTTGGTGCTCTCCGGGGGGCCGCACCGCTGCTTGAACTGAAATCGAAATCGGCACAGCTGCCACGGATTCCCCTGCAGCCCCTGGAGGAGGCTGGTGCGTTGATGGATTGCACCCTGTGCCGAAGGGCACTCGGGCAGGTGATGGGGAGCTGGAGGCTGAGAGGCAGGTGCTCTTTCGCCGCGGAGGAGTTGCAGGGGGGAACGCGGGGGCCGCGATTCTTTCTGGTGGTGCCCCCTCATCTCCCGTGGCACATTTTTCAGAACCTCGCCAGTGGTTTCTCTCGACCTCTTTTGCGTTGCTGAAAGTCCAGGGCTTAAATCCTGAAATGGTGTCGAGGGGGGTGTTGCGGCACGGCCGGCATCAAACAGCCACGGGTACGAGCAACCACTCTGCCCACCGTTCCCCCGAGTGACGCTCGCAGTGGTTTTAACCTTTCACAACAATCCGCAAGCTGCCAATATATTCCCACTGCCAGCTCGTTCTTAAGGCCAGCGGCGGCATTCTAGCAAAGAGTGCCCGCCTGCTGGGAAATCCTGAACCGTTCCCACCAGCTTCTCTGAGCAATTCCTGGCGGCTTTCCGGTAGCCCTTTGGCCGGCCGGCAGCGCTGCAGAGGCTTCTTTCAAGACCGGGGCAACCGGGCTTCTGCCTTGAGGAAGTTCTGCCATCTCCTTGCTCGGCTGTGGCGAGTGGGGGGCCCTTCAGGCGAGTTGACGGCCTGGTCCGGAGATTTGTTCTAAAATGTCCTCCTCCCAAATTGAATAGCGACACTTAGCACGTCCGTAGCACTTGAGCGAGCCCAGAGCTTTTGTAGACACGATTCTTAGCACAAGTCCACGACGTATGTTAGTGCTACCATCTCTGACGTGCAATTGAGGAGACGGACGTGACGGGGCAGGCGCTCCGCTGAATCCCTCTGTTGCATTTGCCAAGGGCAACAACCCACTCGAACACAGGCATCGCGATCTGTAGCTTGGTTTCTTAGCTGCCGTGCTGCACCGGCCCGCAGAGTAGGTGCAAGGAGGCAGCACGTTTGTCGGGATGCCGCGTTTCTGGCCCCTTCGCACGTGGCGTGGCCTTCCCTGCTTTGGTTGGGGGTGAGAGCAAAACGGGAACGCTGCTCTCCGGCTTTGCACGTGGGGAAGGGAAGGAGACTGCATCCCCGAACGCTCCTGGAGAGGCGTCTGCGTGTCCCCCGAGCAGCTGATCTGGAGAAATGAATACAGGGTTAGGCAGGCGGTCCTGCTGGCTGCGCTTTTAGAGCAAGACACAGTTTTGTGTCGCTCCACCACACACGCACCTCTCTGCATCCAGCGCCTCCACATGCACGGCTCCTTCCTGCAGAGCGGCCTCTGAACGCTGCAGCTCCGTTGGGAAAGCCCCTGGGCAGAGAAGGCAGGTGGCCGTCACCTGCCCTCTTCGCATCCTCCTGCTGCTGTAAAGACCAGGCACATGCAGGGGCTTCGCCTGGCCTTTTCGTGGTCTTGGAGCAGCTTCTGTCCCAGTAACGTTTTCAGCTCAAGCACGGCACATGCATAAATGAACGATGCTGAAGCTCACTTCCGTAATGGTATAAAAATGAACTGTTTTAATTTCACACGTTGCTTTAGATGAGCGAGCCCCAACCCGTGGCTTGGACCCATAACAGCTAGGGCGTTTGCACATAAATCTGCGTGAGATCGTAAGTCTAGTGATGAACAGCATGACAGGAAGAGATTGGGGGAAAGAGGGAAAATGGAAATGGCGGCTGAACTGGTAGGAGTGGATAGGAGGAGGAGGAGTTCAGTGAAGTAGAAAAGGTAAGTCTGAACAAGTTAAATGAAAAGAGGTGACGCGACGGATGCCAGGAGATCCCACCACTGAAAATGGACATCGCAGGTAAGGAGTTAAAGCAGCAGGCTAAAGGGAAGGGATTTAGAGAAATCGAGGAGTGCCAAGAGAAAAGCAAGCTTTGCGGTGCCTACAAGAAGGATGTGAATGGTGGAGAATAGGAAAGAGATGGACGAAAGTTTCAAGGAAGGGAAAGAGTAATGCTTGGAAATGAGCTGAAGAAGCAACACACAGAGTGCAAGAGCACAGTTAGGAAATTCGGGCACTCCAGGCAGTGGAGAAAGGGCCAGGTTTCAGATTTGGAGGCTGAAGGGGCACTTTATCAGTGGATTAAAGTAGGGCTGAGAGCTAAAGAAGTGGAGCTGCCTGGCTGCAAGGACCAAAGAGAAGATTGTGCGAATCGGGAGGGGAGGTGGAGGGGATTCAGCAGGACTGGGTTTGACAAAATGATGCCAGCAGCCATGAATGGACGGCCAGAGACAATTGATGAAGGCAAGTCTCGCCTGCTGCAAACCGGAGGAAGGGTGGTGGAAGGCACAGCCAGAAGGCCTCACGCTGCTGGTCCAGGTCTCCAGCTGAGGAGCTCCACTGCAGCCTGCCTGGAACCAAGGCACCCCAGAATGAGCCACCCCATGAAGCGTGTGTGACCGAGAGGTGAAGTGAAACACTTGGCGCTGGCTGGCTGCCTTTGCTGGACTGGGAAAATAGTCCAGCCGGAGCCTGTGCATGTTCACCCAGAAATGATTCCCAGTGACCGTCCCTGCAGCCAGCTTGCACCCTTGGACGGCCCAGACGCGACATGGCCGAACCCTCTGGGAGATTCTGGCGCCTGCAGCCACGCGTCGTCGTCCTGCTGTCTTGCGATCTTTGGCGCTGCAGCATTTCGTGCAGGGACGGGGGAACTTTCTGCTGAGCCCAACTCGCTGTCTGTGGGGCCAAGCAGGGACAGCTGTCAGGATCTGACCCACCTGGGGGCAAGAAGGGCAGGCCCAGGTCTGCAGCCTGCGGAGGGAGGGCTGGAGCGCACCTCCGCCTGCCTAGTGCCCGGTTCCCCCTGGAGCCGCCCCCTTGCTTGGCTAGCGCTGCAGCCGTCCCTTGCGCCTGCGGAAAAGTGGGGAGCCCCTTCGCCGGACCCCCTCCTGTGGCCGTTGTCGCAGTGGCCCCTAGCAGCCCGGGCGTCTTCACAGGACGGGAAGCAGACCTCAAAATGGGCCGTGGGGCGCGCTCTTCACTGCAGCTCTGTCCACCTCCAGCTGGGCGCGGTTATTCATGGCCAACAGGCTGCTTTAACTTAGGGCTGCCTGAGTCCCTGTTCCCAGTGGTCTCAGTCACAGCTAACCGTTCTGCCCGGGGTGGGGGGGCCTCCCCCTCCTCTCACTGGCACTTCCGTTGCTGCCCTGTAACTTGCCACACACAACATAAGAACAGCGACGCTGGATTGGGCCCAAGGTCCAACCAGGCCAGCATTTCAAGCACTCGGGGGCAAACCGGCTGCTCGCAGGATCACTGCAGCAGGACGAGGTGGAATTCTGCCCGGGCTCTGTGCATGCGGGCTGCAGATAGCAAAGCCAGTAGCCACAGGCAGCCGCCTCCTGGATCTGGCCAGTCCCTTTCGAAGCCGCCCAGAGTGGTGGCTGTTGCCACTTCCCAAGGCAGCGAATCCCATCGCTCAGCCCCACTTGCGCGAGAGAGTGCCTGCCCTAGACCTGCCCCAGTGAGCTTCATGGGGGACCCCGTGGAGCTCCCCCGTTTGAGAGTTTTGGGGGCAGAGGAACACGGCTTCCTCTTGACTCTCTCCGTGCCGGGCACTATTCTACCCCTCCCCATCTTGACTGTCCTTCCTGGCCCCTTTTCTAAGCCGAGCAGCCCCAGCTGTTCCTCACGGGGGCGCTGCTCCAGCCCCCTGCTGTACTTTTCCACTTCAGTAACGCCCCTATTCAAGTGAGGCGTCCGGAACTGGACACAATATTCTAAGTGTGGTTGCACCAAGGATCTGAATAAGGGGAGTAAGATTTGGCAATCCTGTTTTACGTTCTGTTCCTAATGATGCCCAGCATGAAGTCGGCCTTTTCCCCCGCAGCGGCACACCGGATCGATGCTCCCATCAAGCTGCCCGCCACTTCCCCAGGTCCCCTTTCTTGATCAGTCTCCACAGGCTCCGACCCCATCAGCCCCGTACGAGGAGTTGGAGGCTTTGCCCCACCGTTTGGGTGTCCCCCTCGCCCCCCCCCCCCCACCCCCCCTTACGGCTTTGACCACCCTAAATAGTCCCGTGTCGTCAGCAGCCTGCCTACGTCACCGCCTGCTCCTGGTTCCACCTCGTTTGTGAACAGGCGGAAGAGCATTTGTCCTGGCAGGAAACCTGCCGGTTGTGCTTTTCCACTGGGAGAAGCGGCCAGGGCTTTCCACCTTCCGCCTTCTGTTTCTTCACCAGTGAGCAATCCAAATGGGGACTCCCCCTTCCCTCCCACGACCGTTTAGCTTGCTCAGAAGCCTTTGGTGAGGGGCTTCCAAAAGTGTCAGAAGCCCAAGGGAAGAAGGGGCGCTGGCCGCCCACCCATGGGCACACTGACACTCTCAAAGGATGCAGCTGCATGAGACAAGCCTCCTCACGGACGCCACACCGGCCTTTCTCCTCGGCTTGCCCCGCAATGTGTGGCCTGGCACTCGCTCTAATGATGCGTCTACGCAGTTAGCCCAGAATGGATGCTCAGCCGCCTGGCCTGCGGTTTCCCGGACTTCCACAGACCCCTTCAAAGAAACTGGCATTGCATTGGCTGTTCTCTAATGCTCTGGTACCAGGGCTGGGTTGGGGGACGTATTAAATATTTGGGTAAGAAGGTCAGCAATTTCACATCTGAGAGCTTTGAGAACTCCAGGGTGGGTGACATCCGGACCGGGTGACTTGACTTGCCCACCTTCAGTTTGTCAGAAAGGTTGAGTCGTTCATCTTAGGACACGACCATCTGCCTGAATTCCTCAGACTTCCTTCCAGAATGCATAAGCTCAGAGGCTCTTCATCCTGTGCCATGAAGACTGATGGGAAAACACGCTCAGCGTCTGTGTAATTTCCTCTCCCCCCCCCCCCCAGTTCTCCTTTAATTCCATTATTGCCCAATGGCCCAACTGCTTCTCTACCTACTTTCTTCCTTTTGATATATTCAAAGAGTGCTTTGCTGTTGGCCTGGATGTTCTCCCTGACGTTCTCCTCAAGTGCTATTTTTCCCTTGGTTCCCCTCTTCCGCTTTTTTAACCCGTCCCCTTGATTTTGAAGGCAACGGTGCTCAGTCTTTTTGCCGGCCTTCCAGGGTGCTCAGTGCTGCCTCATGACTCGCCCACGCTGGTATCCTGTACGGTGGCCCAGTCAACTCCGCCAAGGACTAAATCTGGGATCGACTCCAATCCGGTTGGTTCCATGACCAACTGTAGCCATGGCAGGGCCGACGCTATTCAGCTTCGCGTTTATGATAAATGGACCGTGCGTTTGTCCAGTCGATGGGCAGGGAGTTGAAGCCCCCCGTTGCTACAGTCCCACCTTTGCTGGAGGCCTCTGTCACCATCTGCCATCCCAAGGTCACCTCTGGGCCAGCGGACGATAGGTAGCGGACTCCGAGGACTAAGTCAGCTTTGGAGCCAGGAATTGCCTCTTTAGAGGAACCTGCGTGCCTTCGCTTTTAAGCCTGCTGGACACAAAGCCCCCTTTAATAGGGGGCACCTCCCCCTCTGTTCCATCCCACCCTCTTTCCTCTGCAGTTCCTATCCAGGGCTGGCCGGACCCCTCCAGCCACCTCCGGGCTTCCGTAATGCTCGTTCTGTCTCACTTCTCTCTCACTGTCGTGGCTGCCAACTCTTCCGGTTTTGCTCTAAGGCTTCTAGCATCTGTGGAGACACCCGGGCACAGGGTCCCCTCCTTATGTGCGCAGCATTTGCTCCGCCCCGAGTATAACGGCAGCCCTCGCCTTGCTGCCGAAGCCCCCCATCCAGAACTTCTCCCCCTTCCTCCGCACGGGAGGATCTGACCCGGACCGGACGCTTTCCCCGAGCAGGGCTCCGTGTCAGCGCTGTTCTGCCGCCTCTTCCCTGTCCTGCACCCCCAACCTCACCTTGGCTCAGGCGCAAAGGCGCAATGAGCGTGTGCCAGTGAGAAAGGTCCCCGTGTCAGGTCCCCGTTGCCGGCCGGATCCACACCTCCTGGGCAACGCATTTACTCCGATTGCCTGCTTGCTTCAGTGGAGCCAGGCAGCAACATCACCATTCAGTCGATGGTGCTGGCCGGCCCTTCTGTCTTCCCGGCACGAAGGGAGAGCTTCACCTGGCCTGCAGCAGCCTGTCCAGTCCGGCTTTGCAGGCAGCCTTTAAGCGGTTCCGTTCTTCGCCGCCTCTACTTGCCCGGCTTCTGCTTTTGGGGGAGCTGTTTCAGACAGACGGCCAGCGGCACAAGCGCTCCAGGGCTCTTCCGTTGGTTTGTTTTATTTATTGAATGGATGTCTGTGCTGCCACAGTGGCCCGCACCTGGCCCCGCTGCCTGGCCCCGCTGCCTGGCCCGCACTGTTTCGCTCGCCGCCTGGCCCTCTTTCGCTCCTTCCCTGCAGTTGTCTTGTGACTTATTTTGGAATTCGCTCCTTCCAACAGTTCACAAGACATATTTTGAAGCAAAGACCAAAGTCCCAGGAGTGGCTATAGGTAATGTTTGTAAAGTGCTACGATTCTCCAAGGCTTGGCCTAGAGCGTGTGCAAAATGCCAGGACTCGGCTTTATAACATGAGAAGTGCAAGGCCTTTGGGCACGGGCAGAAGGCCTCCCGCCCCCCTGCTGTGGAATATCAGTGCAACCCCCGGTTTTCCCGAGTGCAGCAGGAATTGCTGGGAAGGTGCTGAAAGCAAGACTTTCCTCTTACAGGCTTAAACCCTTGTGCATTTCTTTTTCCAAGAATTAATCCCCGGGTCAGTCCATCGCACGTAATTCCTAATTCCTTTAGAAGGTGCTGGAGAGCGTAGACTCCCTGTTCTGACTTGCCTTTATCCACAAGTGCAGAACACAGGTGGATCGAACTTAAGAAGACCGTGGTGGGAAAAATCTGGATTCTTGCCTGCGTGCAAAAGAGCCAATGCACAGCAGATGCCAGAAAGAAGCCGGTTGTGCCACCAGATTCAGAATCAAGCAGGCCGAGAAAAAGGAGCTACCGTGGGAAATCAATGCGCTTTCACAGTGGTGCTTTCCTAGGCTCTGTTGTCAGTGGACCTTTGAGACCCATGTGCCACCCGGCTTGCCTTTCAGAGTGTGTAACGGGATAGCTAGCAATATGGGGTTTGAGGGGGATCGGTGATCCCGTTCAAAGCCCGAAGCATCAGCAGCCGGTCCTGCAATCTCAGCAGTTTGGCTCTTCCCGTCCAATTGGAAAGGGACCAGCTGCCAGGTTGCCTTGGGGTCGCTTCCACAAGAGCACCAGCAGTCTTAGGGCAAGGTTTTAAAGAGCGGAGATGGTGGTGTTTCCCGTGGATTGTGTCAGGTTTGCAGGTAAGCAAGTGACTGCTATGCAAAGTTTAAAGTTCCTGGCAGTTACAGGTGAGAAATTAAAAAAGAAAAAAAAGGGAGGAGAGCATTTAAAATAGTGATCTCCAGCAACGTGTGTGTAGGAAAGAGATACATTGGGGTGGGGGGGGGGTGAATGCAGTGGGGACATCCCCCCTGCAAGCTCAAATGATCTGCATTTATTTATATCCCGCATCTGGACAAATGCTGCCCCCCAGAACAGCGTTCAAAATAAGGATTTTACCCTTGGACTTGCCCAGCAAGGAGGCAGAACATGCAAGAGGAGGCGAGGGAGGGGGTCTGCCGGGGGTTGTGGGGGGCTGCTCTTGCCTCGCTGGCACTCTCGCGGGACCCCCGTGGGGGGGCCTCGGCTGCCTCCGTCCAAGGCGAAGCACGCTCATTTGCTGAGTGCGGCTCCCTTTTTCTTTTTCCTCTTTTGCAGGACCTGGAGAATGAGTACAGGTGCACCTGCCCTCAAGGTTTTTACGGCAAGAACTGCGAGGTCAGCGCCATGACCTGCGCTGACGGGCCGTGCTTCAACGGCGGGACCTGTGAGGAGAAACACCTGGGCAGGTACACCTGCCGCTGCCCGGTGAGCTACCATGGCTCCAATTGCGAGAAAAAGATCGACCGGTGCAGCAGCAACCCCTGTCTGAACGGTAAGTGCCCCTCCCCGCTCGGGGTGCTGCCGCGGCACAAGCCTGGGAGGCCAGTCTGAGGTTCAGGAGCCACGGAGGGGCTTTTTGGGTCCCGCGTTCACTCGCAAGACGTACAGCTAATGGCTTTTCCTGGGCCGCGGGCGATTAGAGCTGGGCTGCTGTGGCAGCTCCTGCACCTCCTTCGCCTCTGAAATGCCGGCTTTGCACGGAATGTGATCTTGCCAGCCAAGGACAGAGAGACCACGGCACTGCGGAACGAGAGCTCGAGGAGGCCCAGCTTCTGCAGGCCGAGCCGCTGGCCTGGCTCGGGGTCAGCCCTGGCCGGTGGGCAAGAGGGCTCTGGCGCTTGCCTCTTATCAGCCGTGGGACAGCCAGAAATTCAACAGGTTATGTCCTGCCTAATAATAGGACGATCATTGTGGCGAAAACCTCACCCGTTGACATTCTGTCTGCCACTGCATGCAGCCCTTGCTGTTTTTCCGTTGGGATAGTGGCCTTTTATCTAAAGAAAGGGTCGGATCTCTGCGGTACATGCATGAAAGCGGAAGTGCCCTGAGGGGTCAAGAGTCGACCGACCGGCCCTGGTCATAATGTTCCCCGTCATGGTGGGAGCACCGTGCGTTTTAATGCTGCAATTTGCACCCCCACCTATACTGTGTGTGTGTGTGTGTGTGTGTGTGTGTGTGTGTGTGTCGTGCTGTCCAGGCAGGTTATACTATTTGCTTGATAGGTAGCAGAAGCATTGTAGAGGCCGAGCCAAGAGAGGAGCCCCCTCCGATCACAGGTTGGGAGCCCCCCCTCCCCAGACCGTACCCCCAGTTTTAGCAGACAAGAGGCTTGGGCCCCTTCAAGGCTGACGCCCCTCTTGATCCGCTTCCGGGAAACCGATTCCCTTCATCAGGTGCACGGACAGATGCAGGTGCTCTCGCTGGCCGGGCTGCCGGCTTGCGCCACTGCCTCTCGGCGCTGCCCGCTCGGACCAGCCGCGGTTAGACCTGCAGCGAGCGACCTACGGGCAGCTGGCCCCCACCTCCTTCCCGCCCCTGCTCTAGACGAGTGTTTGCGTTTCGCTTTCGCTTTCGCTAGTTTTGCGTCTGTTTCGTCTTTTGCTTTTGCTTGTCTTGTGGTTTGTGTTTCGCTTTCGCTTTTGTTTTCACTAGTTTTGTGCCTGTTCTGTGTTTGCTCTTGCTAGTTTTGTGTCTTGTGTCCGTTTCGTCTTTTGCTTCTGCCTTTTGCTCCCGCCAGGCTGTGCTGCAGCACGGCGCTCTGACCCCGGCGGGGTCCGGACCCCGGTGCCAGGCCCAGGACGGAGCGGCCGCGTCGCTGGGGGCCGGCCGGGCGAGTCGTGCCGACACAGCCTGCCTCGCCCCCTCCCCTCCTCTCCCCTCCTCTGCAGGTGGCCACTGCCTGGACCTGGGCCGCAGCGGGATCTGCAGGTGCCGCCCGGGCTTTGCGGGCCCCCACTGCGAGCTGAACCTGGACGACTGTGCCGGCGGCCCCTGCGCCCACGGGGGCACCTGCGTCGACGGCCCCAACAGCTACACCTGCTCCTGCACGCTGGGCTACGGCGGCAAGGACTGCAGCGCCCGCGTGGATGCCTGCAGCTCCGGCCCCTGCCGGAACGGCGGCACCTGCTACACCCACTTCTCGGGCCACGTCTGCGAGTGCCCGGCCGGCTACATGGGCTCCAGCTGCGAGTTCCGGGTGCAGGTCCCCGCGCCCGTCGGCAGCCAGCGGGTGGCCGAGGGCCCCTTCCCCGCCGCCCTGGCGGTCTCCTTCGCCCTGGGGCTCGCGACGCTGGGGCTGGCCGCCTGCGCCGCCGCGGCCCTGCTCCGGCACCTGCGGCGGGGCCACAAGGCCGCCAAGGGCAGCGTGCGCAACGACCTGGCCAGCATCAACAACTTCAAGGAGAGGGACGGCTTCCCCGCGTCCCCCGGGTGCTTCAAGGTGCCCAACAAAGATGCCCGGCTCGGGGGCGACCGGTTCCACTGCAAGAGGAAGCTGCTGGATCAGAGCCGTGAGTCCGTCTGCAAGAAGCCGGAGAAGTAAGTGGCCACAGTCTCGCGCCGCGGTCTCTCCTAGCGATCCGGAACCCGTGGCCAAGTCCGGTGCCGGTGCTGGTAAGGACGCACTGGCGGGCTCGGTGTGGGTGAAGGGCCGTGCCAGGAGGAAGCGGTTGCTGCTCGGTGCCCACGCAGGCCCGGCTCGCACGGTGCCGCTCCGTGTGAGAAAAACCCAGCAAGGGCCGTGCCAATGCCGTGCAGCCGTCGTCGTGGCTGGATGCGCCCTCGCGTGGCCGGGGGCGGCATTTGCTGTGCAGGGGAGGCCCCGGCCGGCCGACAAGTGCCACCTTCGTCACCTGGAGGCGTGCGCAGGTGCCCGGCTGCCGTAACTGCGCCGAAGCCCTTCCGGCCTGGGGCATCCTTTCGCCTGCCCTTCTGCTTGGGGGGTCTTGGAAGTCAGAAGGCCAGAAATGAGGCGTGTCCTGCAGACTTCGGGGGTGCCTGGTGGGGAGTCCCAGGCTGAGAATCGAGCCTGATCAAGGCAGGCGATTGCACCAGGCCTTCCTTCCTTCGGTGGCGGTTGTGGTTGTGTTGTGTGCGGCACTTTGTCTTCCTGATGAGTAAGCACGGCCAGCTCCTCCTGCCCCTCCGGGGAAGAGGGGCTTTGTCCCCCCGCCCATTTTAACTCTTCCCTTTCTGGTTCTGCCTCTGCAGCGGAAGATTGGAGCCGCTGCGATCCGCTGTCCCCGCTGGATATCCCAAAGAAGGCACGTACCACCCCATCTTCACCATCCCAGGCCAGACGGAGCAGTGCGTTTATGCGACGGAGGTAATGGAAACGAGCCGCCCCTCTGCGGCCCCATAAGCAGCCCAGAGGCGGGGGGGGGGGTGTCCGGGGCACGTGGCCCGAAGGAGACAGACGCAGGGGCTTTGCGTGTGACGGTGGGCCCCTTGCTGAAAGGACAGGCGGGTGGGCGGGATGCTGGGCTGGAGAGTACTGGCCGTATCTTGTGCCACTGCTCAGGTGCCGCCCGGGGTGTCCAGCTCCTTAAACAATTGCACAGGCTTTTTAGATGTGCAGATGCGTCCGTCCATTGCGTGGCGATGCTTGAAGGGGATGTCCTGTCGGGGTGAGGGGGCGAGAAGCCCAGGCGTCACCTGGGGGGAACCGGCTCGCTCTTCTTCTTCCGACCGGGGGCAGCGCCTTCTGCTCGGGCCTGTGCTTCAGCCTTGCCCACCCAACACGTGGAACATGGTTTTGCCTCCATCCGCGTCCTGCATTTGTAGGGGGCCAGCAGCGCAGTGTGGCAGTGCAGCCAGCCAGTTGGGGTGCCCCTTCCCAGGATACTCCATTCCGTGGGTTTTCCATGCGCCCGGCCTGTGTCCTGTGGGCACCGAGCACACCCGGCCTTCACGGGGCCGTTTGGGGGCGTTTCTTTTTTCCTCCCCCAAGTCTACGGCCGCTGCTCCCCCCCCCCCCCGGAGCTCCCACGTCGGATGGGGAGGGCCTCAGTGGAGGCGAACAGGGGCGCGAGAATCCCCCAAATCCAGCGGCCCCGGGCGGGCCGGGGCAGCAGCTCTGTCCTCCGTGGTCCTGCCAGATGGCACTGCCAGGCTCTGGGCTGCCTCTGCGCCATTGAGGGGGTCCGCCTTTTGCACAGGCTGCAGCTCCGGAGGGGCAGGGGCTGTGGGATGGAGCGCCAGCCAGCCAGCCGCTCTGCTCCTCAGCCTTCCAGGCCTGTTACGGGACCGTTCCACGTCACACTTGCCACGGGGCTCCTGGCCACGGCTGTGGCGCTCAGCAGGATTGGCCACGCAGCCCGGAGTCTCCTTCGCAGGAAGACGCAAACCTCGCAGGATACCCTGCCTGGAAGGACTGGCTCTTGCCTGCCCACCACGGGCCACAGACGCCCACCGTGTGTCCCAGAGTCCTGGGAAACCTTTCCAAGGTGCAGACAGGCAGGCGAGCCTCCCCCAGGTCAGCCCCGGGGGGCCTGCAAGGCGCCGAGTGGCAGGAGCTCGGGCGCACCGTCTGCGGCTCACAGGCGGACGCGGCTGCTGCGGGCGGCGGGGGAGCCTCTGCCCCTGCGCAGGGCCCTGCCTGCGGGCTCCTGCAGAGGGGCCCCCGGCCCGTGCCCTGCATGCAGCCCCCGTGCTCCCGAGTCGAGCGCTTGCACAGGGCAATCAAGAGGGTGGCGGGTAGGAGGGTTTTGATGTGAGTTAAATGTGCATGGCTCCTTCCACACTGACACGATCGACGCGCTCTGCAGGAAGTCGCGACCGGTCGAGTTCTTGTTTGTTCAAATAACCTGGGTAAGCCACCTTTTACTTCTTTTCCTCCCATGCATGCCTCGAATGCACAGGGCAGCCAGCCCTCGCCTCGCTAGCAGCAGGTGGAGCTCCAGCCGCCTGGATTAGCTGGGTAACTAACCAGGCAGCAGCAATCTCAGAGTGAAGTAAACCCCTGGTTGAAAATGAAAGCGGGATATAAATCCAGGAGGTAGACAGGCAGGCAGACAGATGAATGAATAGTGTAGAGGAACAGGGCTAAGTGTCAGGACAAGGCGGAATGGATCGAGCGGCACAGGCAGGGCCGGCACGAGAGCCGGAGCGGGGCGTCTGGCTGTGCGCGCCGAAGCTTGCTTTTGAAAGCACACGTGCCAAACGCTTCAGGACCTAGTCCAAGGGACGGGAGAAGGCACCCCAGTGTGACACGGGTCCTCACCCTCGGGGGGTGGAGGGAGCAGGGTTGCTTCCCCCACTCGCCCAGCATGTGGATCAGCAAACTGGAGGCCTCGGGGGAGAAGGACCCCCCGCCCCACAGCGACAAGGCCTGCAACGCCTTCCCGCCACGATCCGCTCGTTCGGTCGGTCGGTCATGTGTGTTTCAGTGCCAAGCCTTGCGGTGTTTCCTCCCAGGCAATCCCTCCTTACCAGCCAGAGAGAGCTGGGAGTCAGCTGCGCAGAGCGCTTTTAAGTCCCTCACCTGGGAAGAGAGTCCGGCAGCCCCGTCCGCAGCAACCCGAGAGGGAGGGCGAGATGGACAGCTCCGGCAATGGGCCCCAGCCTGACCCGTTCGGGGAGCTCGCTGATCACAGGGAGAGGCCGGGGCTGCCTCCGGTCCGAGGGTCTTCCGTGCAGTTCCGGATGGCCCCTGCAGGGGACCCTCACGTGCCCCCTTCTCTGCTGGGCTTCTGGCTGCATTTCCTTCTGAGTCTTAATGCTGGAAGTTCGATCCAGTTGTGGAGGGACCGGTTGCCCTCGTTCTATCCCCAGATGGGAAGGGGGTGCCCCCCTCCCACCAGAAGAGGTAGTTTGCTGATTTACAGGGCAAGTGCCAGAAATAACCTCCTCCTGGAGACCCTCCATCCCCTGAGTTGAGGAACCCTCGACAGCAAGTCTTGTGTCGATTCTGCAGCTCGACTCGGGTGCCCCTTCACACGATGCGCTCGGACCCCGCTCAGGATGCAGGCCGTGCAGGAAACATCGATTGGAGACTGCTTCTGGGAACGCCAGGCAGGTGGCTGCCCCCCCAGCAGGCCGGAGAGTGGCACCCAAGGGGCCAAGAGCCCGCCAGGGTCCCCGGCAGCTGCGAGGTAGCCCTCCGGCCTCCTGAGCCCCTTAACCTGACCGTATGGCTGAAAAGCGCCAAAGCGAGCCAGCCGACCCTTCAGTGGTGCCTTGGGCCTGATTCCAGAGAAGAACGTGGCATGCGAGGCCTGGGTGGCCCTCCTGAGTAGGGCCATAGCATCCCCCGTCCCTCCCTCCCTCTCCCTTCCTTCCCTCACCCCTGGCCATGAGTTAAATTTATATTGCAGACTTAGGAGGAGGAGTGAGTATCCAACAGGCCCCCCCAGGTAAAAGGGCCAGCAATTTGCAAGAAATGCGACGTGGCACTCACGGGAAATGCTGCAGGATCTCAGAATCCAGGTTTGCACAACATGGTGAACCCAATCCGTTCTCCGTCGGTCCCTCCCTCTTTGCTCTCTTGCTCTCTCTGTCTCTCTCGCACACACACCTCACACTCACGCAGCTCTGCTGGGACCGCCATTCACGGATGGATCGGGGTGCGCGGACTGGAGAAGCCCCTCCTTCGCGGAAGGCCCTGCCCTCCTCATGGGCCACCCCCTAGCCTCTCAGCAAGGAAATGCTGGGTAGAAAATGGGCGTTTCAATTCTCCCCGGCCACCAGCCAAGCGTTGGCCCCTCCAGCCGCTTCTGCCCGGAGAGATGGGTAGGAAAAGCTGGGGGGAGTCCATGCCGTCCCTGGACACGGCCTTCCGAGGGACTTGGCTCGGTCCCAGAAGAGACCCGACCAGTGCGGGAAGGTCTGCCCGTTTGTTTCGGGGCTCTGGATGCAGAGGAAGCCCCAGGTAAGAACGCCTGCACAGCCTCCGCCTTCCCTCAAGCCCGTTCGCCAGCCTTGGCCGCCTTGAGGCCATTTCGCCCCAAGAGACGGTGCTCAGGACCAACACAACGGGATAAGAAGCACCGGGCGCAACAGGTCTCGTGGCCTCCGCCTTCCATTCCGGCCACTCTCTGCCCAGGCCTTGGCCCCAGGAGGCGGCCAGCGGCCAGCTCAAGCCACAGAGCCCAGCACCTCTCCTGGTCGGCTGGACGAAACCAGTCGCAAGGCTTCGGGCAGCCAGCCAACAAGACCCGCACAAGCAAGAGGCGTTTATCTCTGGCTGCAACAAATTATTTCCCATCCCAGCCAGAAAATATACAGAAAACAGAACATGTCATGAGGCCAATTCACAGCCAAGTCAACATTTTAGCTTTCAGTGCAGTTCATGGCAGCCCAGAAGGGGCCGGGCGTTCAGAGAGGATGAAAGGGACCCCAGAAGAAGTGCGAAGGATTCGGGGCTCCCCCAGGATCCTGTGGGAGGGAGGTGGGTCCCTTTTTGACCCCGCCCCAAGCCACATTTCAGGGCCTCCAGGCGCTCCGTTGATTGAAGCCTCTACTGCCATGTCTCCGTTGGCCTGCACAGGTCCACTCGAGGTGCCGCAGCTCCAGAATCGGAGCAGAGCAGAAGCCAACCTGTTCCAGGCAACCCTCGGTCAAGGGGGCCTCGGGCCGTGGCTGGCCTGGTTCCATTCAAGCAGTTATGGCCCTGGGAGCACTGCCGGCAGTGGCCCTGGGGCCGGGGAGCGGCACGACCCCGGGCTGCAAAGGGCAGCCCACCTCACCACCCAGCCTCGGCTTCTTGTCCCTGTGAACCGCTGGCGAAGGAGACCGAGCACAAGATGGCCAGCAGGCGGAAGAGGCCGGCAGCTCCCGGACATCTGCTCGCTCGGTCGCGGCAGCGTTGGAAGACGGTGCAGGGGCCGTGAGGCGCATCCAGTCGGAGAGAAGACTGGTTCTGTTCTGTTCGTGCCTTCCACGGAGTCTAACCCAAAACAGTGCCCCTTAGAAGAGACGAGCGGCACTGGTGAGCTGCCAAACCTGGGGAATCCCAGTGAAGTCCCAATCCTTCCTGTCGATTCTCCTCCAGGAATCAGTTCTTTTCATGCTCAACTCCAAGCCAGGCCACTGCCGGAGCTGCTGCGCCGAGCAGGGCACCCCCTGCTCGTTCCCGTGGCAGCGGCTAGAAGGGAATCAAGGCTGGCGCTCCGTCTGTCCAGGCAGTCCTTGCTCAGAAGGACTCTGAGAGGGAGCCGGCTGCTCCTGCTTCGCTGCTTTCAGAGGAGAAAGCACAGCCCCCGCGAGGTGTCAGGACCATAAGAACTGGTGCAGAGGTTCTGACGTCTTCCATCTCGAGGCAACTGAAAGCTCACGAGTCTCCCGCACCCCGAGCCCGACGGGCGGCCTTTTGGGCCACACAGCCTGGGGCTTCCAGGGGACAAGCGTGCCCAGCGGCCCCTTTGCCACGCAGCACCAAAGGCGCCCTTTCGCGGCAGCTGAGACGGCACTTCGGAGAGAGCGACTGTCAAGCAGTCAACATTGAATTTAATTAGCTGTATTTGGGAGGGTTTTGCAAAAACACTGAATTGGTTCAGCCCTTTTACAAATGCCGTTCGACAGTTCCTTCGCCTGCCAGTGTGGCTCGCTTTGATGTGACTTGCCGGGGGCCTGCATGGAGCAGGGGTGGCCTTGATGGCCTTGCGGGCCCCTTCCAGCTCCACGCTGCGATGCCTCCATGACCTTGCGGAGCGGCACCTGAGACGGTCTGAAGGATGGCCGGCGGCGCACCCGCTCCACCTTCAGCCTGTCCTTCCCCAGCTCTCCCAGGTGCCAGTCTAACCCAGCCAGGAGAGGAAAAGCATCTGGTTTTCCTATTGCTCTAAGTTCACGTGCTGCTCCTGGACATCTCGTCTGCCTCACCGCTGGCTCCTCTGGATCTGGAACTGCTTCTTGGACGAGCGCTGCTCATCCAAGAGAGTTGACAGGGGATGCTACAAAAGCAAGGAAGTCGGGCCTCCTCGCCATCTGTGTCTTCGTGTTTAAAGTCACGTGTATTTATGAATTCATGCTTAACGCAGGTGAGCAGGTGCCCCCAGAGCAGTCTCCAATCGATCCGTGTTAGCCGGGCCTGCCTCCCTCCTGGCCGCGGAGGAGGGACCCATCCTGTGGTGTGGCATCCGACAGGGCGTCCTCACAGGTCAGTGCAGAATAGCTCGCCGCCCGCCCTCTCTGGCTGGAGTGGCCGATTCGGCTCCCTTAAAAGCCACTTGGATTATCTCCAGAGTGCTAGAAAGGACTCCCTTGCCATATTCACGCCTCGATCTGGACCGACTGCTCCCGAGTCACAGCACCGCTTCGCCAGCACAAAGCCAGTCGCGAACTGCAGGCAGAATTGGGACGGTTGCGTGAGATCGTGTTTGGAACATGCAGCGGGAGGGCTGCACGCTCCGCCCCAGATTCCCTGCCCCGGCCTGTCCGCATTTTAGTCCCCTCGGACAGCCGATGTGCTGGGAGCAGGAAGCCTCCCCTTTTGGCAGGTGCACGGGAGCCATGCAAAAGCACCGAGGGAATTCCGGCAAGCGCTGCGGGAAGCCTGAGATCCCACAAAGCATCAGCCCATTTCTGTGCGCGTGATGGACAGCAGGGCCGGGACCGCTTCCCATGCACTCGCCTGCACCGGGGCTGCTTGGAGGGGTTCCCCTCACTGCCTATTTGCCCACCCGCCCCCCCGAGATCGGCAGCAGAGGCCCTCCTCCGGGGACGCTCCGTGGAAGACGTTAGGAGACGGAGTACCAGGAGCAGGGCCTTCTCTGCGGTGGCGCCCCGGCTATGGAATGCGCTCCCCAGAGAGGTCCGCCTGGCGCCATCGTTATTTGTTTTTCGGCGCCAGGTTAAGACCTTTTTATTTAATCAATATTTTAATATGTTTTAATATTGAATTTTATGATTGCATGTGCAGCCAGAATGGGTCATCAATTTATTTATGTGTTAGCCATCCAGAGACGTTAGTAATTGGATGGCATACAAATTTCATAAATAAATAAATACCCATGAAAGTCCCCGCAGCTGGAAACATAGCCCGTGAGCGCTGGCCGTGCCCGTCGGGAGGCAGCCACCTCTGTTCTGGGTGGAGAGGCATTCTGCACTGTACAAAGGGCAGGAAGTGCAGCAGTGGCTTCCCTGGGAAAACGCCCCCCGGGGTGCAGCTTGGCTAGCGACCCTTCGCAGGGCTGATCCCTTCCTCGGTTTTTGGTAGACGCTGAGCTTTGGAGAAGGAAAGAAGGCGGGGGGCCACGAAGGGAGTTCCCTGCCATTGCATTCTGTCCTAATCTCTTGCCCCCGCTCTTTCACATTTATTTCTAGGTTTAAAGAAGACCCTTCTCCAAGCCATGGACTCTGACATCTGTTTTTCATTTTGTTTTCTTCCAAATTCTCAGCTAAAGGAATGTTTACAGAGCACCCTGAATGGACTTTTACCATTATTAATTTTTGATCTATATAGTTTTATAAAAGACTCCTTTTTTAAAGGAAAATATTTAATATTTATTCTTGCTGCTATTTTTTAATTTTATTTTTGCATTGAGACTGGCTTGCAGATCTTAGGAACGGAAACTACTTATGGATTGGAAACTGGAAAGTCATAACTGGGTTCGGAGAGGTTTGTCCGGGATTTCCCTCGGGAAGCAGCAAGAAAGCTGGGAAGGCTCATTCGGGGTGTGGAGGGGGGTTGATCTGGGAGAAAGAGGGAATTTACTGAGATTATTTGGGCTGTCGGAAAGGCCGGTCCTTTTCCCACACGCGTGCCGGGGCTGGAGTCATGTCTGCTTGCCTTTTTCCTCCTCTGCCGGCTCTGCTTCCCAGTTCACTTCGGTGCCTTCCCTCAGAGCCTGGAGGAGCCCGAATCCGAATTCTCTCCTGCCCTTTGCTCCCAAGCGATCCCCAGGGCAGCTTGCACTAGCAGGACTCCCGGCACCGAGCGTGCCAGCAGGGGAGGAGCTGCTGCAGGTGCAGGGACCCCCGCAAGGCGGGCTGCTTCGGAATCGGCCAGATTCCTCGCCCCAGCCAGATATGCAAGAGGGCAGGTGTGCATTAGCCTGTGCTGCAAGAAGCTGTCCGCATGGAGCGGAACGCGGCCGTTCCCCCGGCGTTCCGGCCTGTGGTTATGCCGCGCTTTCGCCACGCGGGGGCAGCAGCCGCACGAAGCCGCTGAAGCCCCCGGGGGGCGCTGCCCGCCTGCGCTGCGCTGCGCTGCGCGTTGCATTTCCTTTCCTTTCCAGGGCGGGGGGTGCGCTCACCAAATTGGCACAACGCCCCCCTTCACTGGGAGCAGCGGAACAGAGGCGGCGCTGGCATCTCTGTCCTGGGAGAGCGGTGCTTGGGCACAGCTTTCCCAAAGCAGCAGCAGCAGCCCGCCTCCCCCCGAACCTGTCTGATCAGGGAACAAACCAAGCGGCAGGGCAGATGCGAGCAAGTTGCAAAAGGCCCGAATTCGCCCTCCACCTGCAATTGGTCGACGACTAAAGAAATATATATATATATATATATATCAGAGCTAAATAGGTCCCACTGTGGTTTATATAACACTTGGATTACCTTCATGATCTTGTTTCGTTCTCCATTTCCTTCCTTTTTAAACACATTGTGCATGGAGACAAATAGGAACCCTCATATAGGAAGAACTTTTTTTCTGATAATGGTGAGTATTTTTCCCCCGCCTACCAAAAAAACGAAGGAAAACAAAGGCGGGGAGTGGAGTCTGGCTGCACAGCCAGGAAGGCGTGCAGCTGGACCGTCTCGCTGGAACACCAGGTCTGGCAGCTTTTTGTATTAAAATCCGTTTTGTTGTTTTTTGAATTACATGTTCAGCCTCACCTTTGAATGTTGCAAGTTCTTATAAACACGTTGGGAATAGAGCTGCAGTTCCTGTTATTTTTAAACTGTTTCTCCCACATCCCCTGTTGTTTCTCCTTTTAATTTAAAACACAAGGAATGTTGTATACAAAAAGACCTGCTGGAGATATTTTATGAACCTATTTAAGATGTATATACTGTATATTTATACATGTTGTGGTTGCAAATCTCCCTCTGCCCATGTCCGCAGCCCTTTTTGTTATGGTCCTTTCTCTCAAAAGAAAGTTATATAAAATATCTATTTTGCTCAGTAAAAATCACCCCGTCTGACTTTGTTTTCTTGTACATTTTCACACCGTAGCCAAAGACGGGAGTCATTGTTTATGAAGACGTGTATGCAAAGCTGTGCCGACTGGCTCTCCATTTAGTCTGCCGGAGCAGCATGGACCAGCCCCAGGACCGGGGCAGAAGTGTGCTGGGAGGAGCCCCGGAGGCCCCCCCCCCCCAAGCCAAGTGCTGCCGGGGCCCCGGGGTGCCCTCCCGGGTCCTGCTGCGGCTTCGCAGGCCTCCCTCGAAAGGTTCCCATTCCCAAAGCATTCTGTGCGCCAGTGAGGCAGCCTGTGGGGGCCCCAACACGTGGGCAAAGGACGTGTGCACAGAGTGTGCCTCCACACACACGCACCGACATGCGGGGAGGACCCCTGGAACCCCACCAACAGGATGCGAGCACCGTCCAGAGAAAGAAAGAGGGAGAGGCCCTGTGGAAGGGCATTCCCATCGTGACACTGGGAGAAAAGCACCGACATCAGCCTGGTCCTAACCGCAAGGGTGCTTTAGCAAGACCCACAGGCCAAGAATCCCCAGTGGGGGGCCCCGGTACCCCACTGCGTGGGAACCTTCCAAAGGAGGAGCTGGCAGGGCTGTTCCTGGAAACTCCTTGCAGGGAGGGCTGCAGCTGGGTGCCAGCCCCTTAGACCACCCCTGGGCTCCAATTTAAAACACGGCCTAGTCCAGGGGTGGCGAACCTGTGGCACACATGCCACAGTTTGGTGGAAAAACGGGGTGTCCCGGCACGAATTTGATGGCTGGAATGTGTTTACAATGGGAAGAAATGATGAGCTGTGCAGAAAAAGCTACTCAAGGAGGGCTTTTTCAAAATCGCCCTATTTCCAATGGTATTTCAGCCCTATATTAGGGTTAGGGGTGTGCACCAGGGTAGGGTTAGGGTTAGGAAAACGGGGTGTCCTGGCAGGATTTTGATGGCTGGAACGTGTTTAGAATGGGCAGAAATGATGAGCTGCGCAGAAAAAG